ATCATGTTGATTTGTATTTTGCTTATTTACTCTTCTCTATGTCTCCCAATAGACTCTAAAACATGAAAGTAAGGTGTATGTCTCATATTCCTGTATTCAGCACAACATCTGGCTCAATAAATCCCAGTTAAAAGAGTGATGCTTTAGGAGATGACAGAATTTAACAAATGCCTCTTCAAATCTGGCATATTAAAGAGGATCAAGGTGTTCCTGGGAGGATTAAACAACCCAACAAGGAAACTAGAAAAAATATTCAAGGAAGCAGAGAGGAATAAAAATGCTTCAGTGAATGGGAGAGGGTAAAGGGGAGACTGTAACTCATGTTAACCTTCCCCTCCCCCCATGAGTTACAAAGCTAACCTCTCCTCAGAGTGGCAGGGCACAGAGGCAGTGATAGTAAACTCAGGGCTTCTGAAGAAGAAACAGCAAGGTATGAGCCAAAGGACAATTCAGTGTTCACATCTACAAGATATTCTTTTCTTGGCTCCATGCTGGTCCCTGATAAGGCATGTGGCATTGTTTTGTTTATAGCCTTTCATAGCTAACAGGGAGATGTGATGCTTGTTCAGAACACGTATTTGAAATGTAAAAAAATGGCATGCTTAGAAACTTGGGGTAAAAGATATGTCAACTTAAAGTCAATAACAACTAAGGGGGAATTGCTGACATTAGGGAAAATTTTTTTCAAAAAGTTTAGAGACAAGCAAGGTATAATCTCATGGCCAGGGTGTTATCCAGAAAGCATTACAGTTCCCATGCATGCCTGGACAAGAAAGTTAAAACCTGGAGACTCAGCTGCTTTTCAACTCTTCCAGTTGATGATTATAACTTTGGAAAAGAAGCCAGGGTATATAGGAAGGGAGCAGCGCATTCCACAGATGGTTTCAAAACTCAGGATGCAATATTCTGGATGTCAGTTTATGACCGCAGAGGTGGGAGTTCCTGGAAAGGGAAAATTTGGTAGATGGCTATATTCTAGTGTCTCCTGACACTAGATTTTTTTTAAAAGGCTGGCTTAAGTTTGGGGAATCCTACATACTAGATATGACGTTGGAAACTACACTTTGCACATTAGCATCGTAAAGGCTCCGAGGAAACACACAAAGATAGCAAATTGCTTGAGTTAAACACAAAGTTTACCACGGTTGCTAGACCAGGTAAATGCTTATATGACATCTGCCCTACATACCAACAACTGTGGGACACAGATGTTCCCACAGAGCAGTTCAGAAAACCTGGATCTACACTCTGGACCCTGAGAAAGAAGATGCCTGCTAAGAAGAGCTCCTGGTGGCTAATTGGCTAAAATTTAAAAAACAGAATCCAGCAGCCATTTCTACACAGGGGCCTCTCATGAAAACTGCACTTCAGTGAGAAGCCTGCACTGAACTGCCTGCCTGCACTGTTTTTGCCAGCTGACCCAGCCTTTAGAAAGGAGTTATGGAATCCTATTTCAATCAATAGGATTGAGGTGGTCTCCATCCAATCAGAGCTACATGACCACTCAGAGCAGTTCTATTCTGACCAATCAGGAGAGTGCCTTTTGCATCAATCAAACTTCAAGGATTTGGAGTGCTAGTTTGCCTGAGGACAAACCAATCAGCAACCAGGGGCAGAACCTTTATCTTTATAAGTCAGCTCCCCTCTGGCTCTGGGAGTGTGCTTTCCCTTTCCACCCAAGACTAAAAACTGTGTTTCCCTGGCCGGAGCTGAAACACCAGAGATGTCTCACACAGCAGAGCAGAGCAAACGGGCATAGGGAAGAGCAGACGTTTACAGAACAGAGGGAGCAGAGCAGAGCAGAGCTATCTAGCTGGAGAGGGGCCTGGTCCCAGGGCCTCCTAACAGCCAAGCTGTTTTCACAGCTGTGCTGAATCACAATTAAGCCGTTTGCACTGAGTAAAGTTTCCTTCTCCACTGAACCTCAAATTGGGGAAGCCTATTGATGTTGAATTGATGCCAACAGCCATAAATTGATAATGCCAATGCACAAAGTAATAAGAACAAATCAACAACAATAAAAATAATTCTACAAAACGAAAAGTATGGGGAATAAAATAAACACAAAACAATAACATAGGAGGTAAATATTATCTTATAGATAAACCAAGACTTTGGAGTACGGGGTTTAATATAATGATATATTTTGGATAAAATAAACAAACTCAACGTAATGATATCAAGTAGTACTGCATATTGAAGAAAGTAAAAGGGAAGTTCCTGAAAGTGGAAATGGGATTGTAGAGGGGAACATCTGGATGATGAAGTGGGAGGAAAATGGAAGAGTGGAATTGTGGGAGCTTACAATTACAGCTCAGAAAGGCATGTAATAAGTGATCTGATGTCCTGAAAAATCGCTTTGCTAAAATCAGAGAATATGAAACTATACACCTTGCTTTGCTAATAATTTTATTAAACAGAAGAAGTAGTAAGGAATGGGTTTAGTGTCAGTTTAATTTTAACTAATAGGGGAAGAGTAGTTGGTCATTTAGAAATATCAGAAACTTTGAGAGAAAGCCAAGTGCTCATAAAATCCAGGCTCTCCATAATCCTGTCAGAGATATTTTAGAGGAGATTTCTTGGAAGGAAGGTTACACTAAATAATCTTAAAATCCCTTTGGAGACATTAAAGATGGCCTCTAACATTCTAGAGCCACACTGAAGAATTCCAGAGGTGGTGGTATGAAAACTAAGAGAGAAGCAACACTCTGTGGCTCTCTGACTATGCTGGAAAAAAAACAAACAGCTGTATTTTATGCAATTTACCATATTTAAATATCACAATAGTCCCATGAAAGAGATACAATCATCATTGTACAGAAAAGATGAAATGCTTTTATAGGCTTGAAGAAATTAAGGTCTCCAAAGAAATTTGACTAGTCAGAGGGGAAAAAATGGAATCAGCTTACATGTAAAATTAGAATAATTAAATAAAGTAGGAAATATTTATTCAACGGAGTTTTATAATTTTTAAATATAAAACTGTAAAATGGAAAATAATTTAGAATAAGGTATTAAAATGCATATAGAAAATCTTATATATAATGTAATTAAAATATTTGTACAGGAAAGAAAAGCCTGTAAGAAAATACATGAACACTAATAAAATAAAACAGAGCCTGACCTTGAGATACTGCAAACCCCGCTGCTGGCAGCCAGCCCTGAGAACAAAGCGAAGTTGGAAGATAAAGAAGGGATTCTTAGGAAGACCATGAAAGGCAGTTTGGCTAATAAGGAGATACAGAACGTAATTCAGGACAGATATGGTAAATCTTCTATAATGAGTAGGGCTGTAATCCTTTACATGGTAAGTTGCTGAGAAAAGCATGAATTGGTCATGGTTAAAATGTCAGAAGACTCAAAATAATAAGAAAAGATAATGAATTGTTGAGGTGTGGCTCACTCTGGAAGCCACCCAACATTTTCTGAGAGAAGTGGGAGGTGGAGACAAAAGTAAAGTAATTTCTGTTACATGAATATTTCAATTATGTGGATAGAAAATGAGGAAGAATGTGGGTAGAAAAATACAAATCTTTATTCTCAAGTTGTTAGAAGCAAGTATCTGTCTAGATTAGCTATGGGGAAAAGGAGTCTGAATAAACACACATTTAAAGCATCAGAAATGTCATTCATGTGCATATACACACATCCCATAGCAGACTAATCTTCAATTGTATGACTTCTATAACATTTTGGAGAATTTTATAAATATATTAAGTATAATGTTTTATAACTCAATTTTTGACTTTCCTTTTGCTGTCTCTCACTTTCCCCATCTCCCATCCTCTCTTGTGTTCATTCTTGTTATATTTAAGAATTTTATATATTTTTATATATGTGTATATGTATACATATGTGTGTACTTATATGTACACATAAGCATAAAAATATGTATAATTTACTATAGCTAGTTTAGACTTTCACATCTATGGCCAATATTGACCAAAAAAAAAAAGAAAGAAAGAAACTAAATGCTTAGTCAATTCAGCACAAACTACACAGGCCTGCAGGCATGGAACGTAGTATTATAATTGACAGTCACCTCTCTATTGCACATTCTGGAAGGGCAAGGACCATGCCTGTTTTGTTTACTGCTGGAGTCCCTACACCAGGATAGTGTCTCAATAAATATGAGTTGAATGAATGAAGGAATGAAGGAAGGAGTGAATACATACAAATCCTATGCATCTTTCCAGACAGCTCAACTCCCAATTTCCTCAGAGCCTCAGTAATATATCTTTCTGGAAATTACTACATTCCTAGCATGAACCACTACTTAACAACTGATTCTACACATTATAATTATGCTGGGTTTTGTTGTTGTTGCTGTGTTTTTCAATTTAGGGAGACATGCTCCTCAAGGACACTTGTATAGGTATATCTTTTATTTCTCAAAGCTCTTGTGAGAGGGCACATAGAAAATCTCAATAATCATGTATCAAAGTAAATGGTGACTTCCTGCTTTGTGACATTTCTAAACATTTTCCCTATTGAATGCATTCTATTTTGATTCCAAAGTGTGGTGGAGAGAAAAGGTGGGACTGAATGGATTTCTAGCTCTGCCACTTCAATGCTGGAAAAGTAACCTGAATTTTGTTCCTCTGCTTCCCTGTTTTTAAAATGAGAACATTAACAAGAGCAACGACAATAAGTATCCATCAGTGTCAAAGAGAAGACTGTGGATTCAAGTGGCATAAGGCATGTGAAAGAGTTTTGCAAATTGGAAAGCAAATCTTAGCCCTCTGTTTACCAATTTTTAAAAATATGGAGCTGATGTTGCAATGCTGCAGATGATAGACGCTGCATGCGGCCCTTTTTCTGAGAATGGCTATTAGGCAAAAGAGCAAGGTGACGAGGTAAAGAATCTCAAGCACACCCTGCCAAACATGCCCCAGGCATAAGTCACTGGCCACGCTCAACACTTGCGTGCGGAGAGATTACTGGGCACCTGTCACCTCCGCCCTTTGGCACTGCTGCTTCAAACCCGGGAGAGAGCTTACCAGACACAAGCTGCTGTCCAGGCAACCCCACGGGAACCATGCCCAGATTATTCATGGCGGTGGCCCAGGCTGTGGGATCTGTCACGGACATGTTGAGCTGGGTTGTGTCTATCGCTATACTCCCCAAACCATCCGCGGCTGCAGGAAAAAAATAAACAATGACTGAGAGTCAATAGGCAAGGGTATTTGTTTTAAAGGAAACTACGTTTCTAGAGATGTGAGGCTTCATTTAGCATTTTCCCAGACCACAAAAAAGCAAAGCACATAATCTACAGCAATGTTTCCTTCAGACATAAGTATAAAGAGTTTCCGAATACATTCTGGGAGGAAACTTAATGACATGTAGTTTATATTATACACAGAATGCCATCAAGAAAGTACTTCTGGAAAAACGAAGAATCGCTTTCTTCTCCTAGTGAAACAACATCAGTTCAGTTCCAAGGTTTCCAGACAAAGCAGGAATACCCTCATGGTAACACAAGTCAATTGGCTTGGTAGATGGAAAATACATAAATTCTGGAGCAGGCACACCTTTCAACTAATAGAATCTCTAGAATAGCTGTAACTCATGAAAATGGTCCTGACTGAACTTACTGTTACTTTGTAACAGATTTCCTCCTTTATAAACTCTTTACAGCATTGCATTAAGAAAATGTGACTTCGCCAAAATATTTCTTATAAGCAAGCTTTCACTAAAGCAAAATAAACAAATAAATGATACTACAAATAGCACAGAGCTAAAACAACAACAATACATACACACCACAAAATATGTCAAATTTGACTTAATGTTCTTTGATGTTCATTTGTTCCACTGCCTGATTTCTTTAAGGAGCCCAGGTTCTGGGTTCCAAGCATAGTTTCATGCCTGGGCAAGTTTTTCCACTAAGAACTCAAAATGCCTTGTGTCCTGGGCTGGCCACCAACATTTACCTGCAGCCATCATCTGAGGAAGCCGTTGGGGACACTGGGTGATGCTTTCAAGGCCACCAGCATCTACTACTGAATTACGAGCATCCTGGGGGGCAGGAGCACTTTGAAGGCTGAGTGCAGGGTCCCCACGGAGATCATCAGATTCTGCAAAAAGGGAAAAGGAGTGAAAACCATAATAATAAACTGAGGGAGCCTTCTAAAGAAAAACTGTCTATTCAAAAACAACCAAGAACAACATCTAATCTCAGGCACGGAAGTAGAGCTGTCTCCTGGCTTGGTTTCAGAGCCCTCTGAGAAGGTGGGTCAACACTGAACCCAGCTAGGGCCAGTGCTGGCTGAATAAACAGCCCATCTGCAGTGAGTGCCTGGCCCCCTACTGAAGAGACTTCACAAATGGGGCTTATCAGTCCCTGCACAGCCTCTTCCACACACTACACATCAATGGAGAGGGCAGACTCAGGGCTAAGTATGATTTTTTTTAAGTTAAAAAATTAACTGATGTTATTTTGGAAGACAGTCATCTGTGAAATATATTCAGAGAGGAAGAAGAAGTATGGGAGAGGGAGAAAAAAAGCAAGAATCTATTCACCATGAGACTGGTAAAGGAGTGCACCCAAACTACAATAGTCAGGAAAGGCCAAAGGAAATAATGGCATGCTGCTCATGAAAGAAGATCTAGAGCGTGTTGAGGCAGCAAAGGAAAAACATTTGTCTTTTAATTCTATGGAAAGATAAATTTAACTGGTCACAATTTATATATAACAAAATCTAATTTTAATATGTATAAAATTAGATTTTTCAAAGCACATTTCTTACAAAAACAACAATAAAACATTAAATAAACTTGCAAAGGACCCATCTATATCACACTCTTTATAAAATTCTATGCCTTCTTTGCATTCTTAGAAATGCAAAAACATAACATTTATACATATTTTAAGTGCACTTGCACCAATCCAAAACTGGATGGTAAAACATGCTGCACTTAGATGAGTGATGTGAGAAGTTTGACTTTTAAGTAGATTTAATCTAACGATTGAATTTAAATAATTATTTTTATTTAGGTATAAATTTAGAAAATTTTTAAAACCATGTTTCTGTTAATGGATATTCTAGCATTATATGTTTGAGAAAGGCCTTTAATGTAAGAACAGGAAAAAGGCCCTTCTTTTTCCTTGTGGTGGCCTTCCACAGTTTATGAGAAGCACTTGGTAATTAAACCCCAAGATTGTTAGCTCCTCTGATTCAAACAGCCCCTCTGTTCAAACTGCAAGACAAGATAAGTTACTCTCAAGTCTACATTCTTGCATACCTCTCCTCCCCACTGTTTTTACAACTCAGGGATAATTAGCACCAGGGAGTCTGTAGTTAGTAGAAAGTTCCCTTCCTCTTTTCTCTTCAAATAAGCCTCTTTTGAACTCTTCATAACTTTTGCTGTAAGCATGTTTTACAGGCTTGGCAAATATACTGATAAGCCACCTCCTTAGGACACTTCCCTAGGTCTCAGCCCCAAATCTTCCTCCCTTCCTTATCACATAGCAATCACAGCTGTTACCATTTAAAGGAGGAAGCTGCCTTTTGATTCTGGTCCCTGAATTTATTAGCAATGCACAGACCATTTCCCTTGGAGGAAAGTAAAATAAACTCCCTCTCTCAGCATCTATCTCTTCTCTCAGTTGTGAATTCTTTCACAGTTCCCATCACCTGCCAAACCCTATATAGTCTGTTTGTCAGTGTATCTAGTGTGAAGTCTGGACCTTTTATGGTGCCCTCTTTTATTCCTTTGATTCTTCCATGCAAGAAACAGTAACCCTTTGCATATGGAACTAAGAACAAATTGTTGACAATTGAGAATACATTTAATTTAAATGGAAGCTTAAGTTTCAATATCTCAAGGATATGTGGACAATAAGCAAATTGTCTCCATGTTCTCCACAAATCTCTAGCCCTCAACTAGAGGAGCCTAAGAGATAGTGGAAAATTTCTTCCAACAGAATATAGAAAGAGGAAACATCTGCATCATGCAGTAGTGAATAATTCCAACTTTGGGAGCAAACTGTATGCAAGACAAATATTTTATACCTTGCAATTAAACTCTACTACCCAAATGAATTCAGAACTTGTTTATATAGGTGCATCAATTATCTCAGAGAATGGGTGTCATCAGACAAGAGATCCGCACCATATGAAATAAACTCAGTGACATAAATATGTAGCTAACTAAAATGTCTGCCCTTTAGCTATCCACACACCAGCAATATTTCTGTGATGAAACCAAACCTCAAAGCATTTTTTTTTCTGTTTACCTCCAACCATTTCAGAACACCAAAGCAGAGTCTGGCTAGAATGTGTCCATTCTTCTGCTCAAATGGGCATGTAGTGGAGTCCTTTCAGATGATCAGAAAGTCACTATTTATCTTACTTATCTCCCCAAATGAAGTTTAGTTGACTGGCTTCCTTGTATCAGGTTATCCCCAATGGGCAATACTCACAATTTTTTTTTTCTGTATAGTGAATCTCAGTTCTGGACCACTCTATCAGAGAACATCTCTTTACTTTGTAGGCTTTATGACTGTGCCTGACCAGCCGTACCTTGCGTTGCCTTTTTGATCCAATGTTTTAGAGATGGTGTTCACTTTCCTTGGTTCTGTAAATGTCTGTCCCAATATTAGTTTTCACCTTAGTGATTATGGCTTCTACCCATCTTCACATTGTTCATGCCCATCTTAACAAACTGATACTGTTTCATTAAAAAAGCATTAGCAAGATGTGGTTTGTAAACCTGGATTTATTCCCACCCAATGAGAAGCTTTGAATTTCAATTTATTGCACCTCTTCAATCTACGAATCCAATGGTTTGAATGACACACAACTTCATGTGGCTACCATGTACTTAGAATGGTGACTCTAAAGTAAGTTCTATCACATCTTAGACATTCCCAAGAGTATCAAGGATGACATGTAATTCTTTTAAAAAATAAAATTGAGGTGATTACTCAGCTAGCAAGGAAGGTGATATTTTCAATTAATTACTATCTAGTATGAGAGCTATTTTTGTTCTCCACTAACATCTATTGTTTCCATTGAATACCTGCCTCCTCAAATGATTCAAGATCATAACGCCTAATTTATCATTCAAATCAATTTCTCTGCCTTAGTTTTCATATTTATAAACCATAGAAAAATTAATATCTTTAGAGAATCTTTATGAGTTTATTTGAGCCAAACTGATGACATATGCTGGGGAACAAGATCTCAAATGCTCCAGAAAATAACAGTTTTGTAGCTATTTTATGCACTTGAAATTAAGGAAGATTGGAGAAATGAAGGCAGGGTTTGGGATTATAGGATAGTTAACAAGGGCATGTGCTCTCTTAAGAGTTAATAGCCCCTTTGAGGTGTCTTACTTCTAGTATTTCAAAAGTGTTACCCTAGAGTAGTGGTCGGCAAACTCATTAGTCAGAGAGCCAAATATCAACAGTACAACGACTGAAATTTCTTTTGAGAGCCAAATTTTTTAAACTTAAACTATATAGGTAGGTACATTGTTATTAACTTAATTAGGGTACTCCTAAGGCTTAGGAAGACCCACACTCAAGGGGCCAAAGAGTCTCATGTGGCTAGCGAGCTGCAGTTTGCCAACCATGGCCCTAAATGCACAAGAACAATGGACAGGTTGGCCTGAGATGTGACTACCCACCATACCCTGCCTAGTTAGGAATTAATGCTCAGATCACCCTGTGAGGTTACTTTCCAAAGAACCCCCTTTTTTTCACCCACAGTTCTCCCTTTTGGTCATACATCAAAAGGGTGCATTAATGACCAATTTTTTGGTCAGACATTGTGGTCTCACTGCACTAAGAAGCCACATTCATAAGAAGTCTCAGTACTGACATTTTGTTTACCATTGGGAATGGGGTAATATTATAACTATGGGATCTGAGTTGAGAGCAAATTTTCCCAAAAAGGGAAAGGCAGGTCTTATGGCCTTCATTACAAAAACCACTTTGAACCATTTCTAGCCTATCAACTACATGTTCCAAGTCCTGCTGTATTTGCCATCTACTGTAACAGAAAGATTAATATCCTTAATGATATTTATTTACACACAGAGATGTGGGTAGTTAAAAATTATAGCAAATAAAGCACTTGGAATATAGCAGATGATAATTATTTTATTTGGAAGTGTAGTGTTCCCATTAAGGTACCCTGGGATCTTTGTGTTCTGCTGGATAATTATGTAATTAATTCTAAAACAGTGAATAACACTTGATATTTCTAAAAGTAAGCATTGCCCTAGTTTTCTGTGCCACACCTAAATTGTAGAAGAATATGTCTTCATTTTCCACAATTCCTTTATAAAATAATATAATGTAATTTAAAAGATGTATGAATTTTTCTACCTAAGTTTTTTTTTTTTTTTTTGCCCATGCAACTACAAAAGCTTTCATGAAACTCATAACCAATTGTGCAACTGGCTTTTAGTGAAGTAAGATTTTCACAATCAGATGTACAAAGGCCAAAGTTTTGTCTAGGCATCACCTAAAATTTAACTTGTTTTTTGTTAAGGTATATTCAAGTACAAAGTTTCATGCCCAATTTTATGACTGTTCAATGAGATATATTTATGCTCAGAATTTCATGGAGCTCTATCAATAAGGCAAATAGTTTTTGAAACTCACTAAACCTATAAAAATACTATTTAGCCTTAAAAATGGCACAGGCTTCTCCCACTCTTTATAACACAACTCTTTCCAACTTTGTTCAACATTTATAGTCCCAAGGACACACACACACACACACACACACACACACACACACACACTAATAAAACTCATCCATAATTGTCCACAAAACATAGATTCCTAATAAAAGGGGGTGGAGAGGAGTTCAGATTTATTAATGTCTTGTTAAAGTCGATTCCAAAGAAACTTTTTTCATTTGGCATATGAAACATTCTTATTTTATAAAAATTATTCATTAGCATTATCATACATGATTATAAAAAGAAAAATATATATTCCCAAAGTTCTACTTTCTTCTTCTATCACTAAGAAAATATCTCACTTTGCTCATATAATCAGTAGGCTACTCTATTGAACTTATGAAAATGTTATATAGTTTAAAGCAATATAGAATATTGT